TGACTGCTATTCAATCTATAACAGTAAAAAAAGTTGTTTTTTTAAATCCAAGCTATTGTGACACCAGATGTAAGTGGTGGCACTGACTGGGGAAATGGGCACAGTATGCACTGTGAGCCTGACACAGAAGCTGGCAGCAGTGGCAGACAACTAAGTGCATTTACATTACATAGAAAAAAAAATTAAAAAAAGCATACCCTTATCCCTAACCTAGCTATGCTTTTCCCTATCTTATGAACAGCAGCTACACTTTCCCTCCTCTTACTAAGCATGCAGCTTGAGAATGAATCTAAAATGGATGCCTTCCAGGAGGTGGGAGGGTCTGCTAGGGAGGGTGTGCTGCTAATTGGCTGGAATGTGTCTGCTGACTGTGAGGTACAGGGTCAAAGTTTACTCAATGATGACGAATAGGGGGCGGGTCGAACCGTGCATATGTTCGCCCGCCGTGGCGAACGCGAACATGCTATGTTCGCCGGGAACCGTTCGCTGGCGAACCGTTCGGTACATCACTAATCGATATTAGAAGTACTGGAATGACCCCCTGTGTCTCTGTGGTAAACATTGGATCGGACCCAGATCAGCAAGCACCGAAGGCAGACTGGCTGCTGAGAGGAGACGTCCTAGTCATGTTTGCAGGTCATTTTTTATTTTTGTGCATTTTGTAAAGTGTAGACAGGAGGGGGGCTGAATCTAGCACAATATAGGAACACACTAAGCCTAACCGTAAGTATATATATTCGTAATCTTAGTTAAAGTGGCTCTATACGCACCATAACCACTACAGCACAAGTATGTGAACAAGAAGTTTCCTCTGTGCATGTATGGATCAAACATCCACAGGTGCATGTGTATTAATATATAGAATGTCTCAGCAAAAGAAGATATGGGACAATATGATGTGAGTTTCGTTAAACACTGTTTTTGCTCAGAGTAACCCTTGCTGTACTGGTGTGCCCCCTCAAGTTAAATAAATAAATAAAATAAAGAAAAAACTTTCCTCCATTCCAGCCGCAGTGCCAAGTTCTTTCTCCACCTGAGGGGAGGACATTGAGTCACGGAGAGGAGGAACGCCGCCATTTAGCGCTTGTTTTTGCAAGCACACTCTGCGTGCTGAGGGCTGCGTTCTGTGCGCACAGAATCCACAATAGATAGCCCGGAATGCTTGTTCATCATTGGCTGGCAAATGATGGTTCAATGACTCTGCTGACGGTAGTTACACTAGAGGGGTTCATTTCTGTATGAGCTACGTTTCAAAGTGAAACACTGCACACAGACTCGAGGCACCATCACCACTTCAAATCACTGAACTGGTCATGGTGCCTGGATTAGCCCTTTAAAATGCATGAAATATAATCTTTAGTATTCTTGTTTTTCACGGTATTCTGATAATATATAAATCGTGCTCTCTCCCCTAGAGATGGTAATATGATAAATACACACTGAGTGGTGATCTCCGCAGGGCTTTGTTCATTAATGAAACACAGTCATTAGGCATAGCACAGGTTTACATTCTTATCAGTCATTAGTATCACTTGTTCATTAATTCATTAAATCATTAAGTCCCTAGAAGCTGAACAATTTCAGCTGGGGGGAACCTGGAGATGGCTGCAAGTTGTATATCTACTATCTCCCACGTATTGTTCAATTCTCAGGATAGAGCCTATAATATCCACGTAGATATCGGGTCATTCTAATGAGATTACACAGATTTTAATTCCATTAAATTGCAGAACCAAAAAAGTTTGCAAAAATTGTTGTGATTGGACTACTATTGGTTTATTAATCAGAAATCAGAAATTGGGAAGAATTGACAAGAGAATTAAAAATCTGAGAGTGAAATTCTCTACCGTTGGATATTAGGAATCCACAAACTCAGTTTTTTTTTTGTTTCTTTAGAAAATACATTCGTTTTTTTATCTTTTACCATTTGGCCACTGTCTTTCTTGACTTCAGACATGGTTTCGTATTCCTTCATGAGCCAACCTTTGCCTATTTCAGAGCAATTACAGATTATTTTAGAAGAGTTCTAGCTCCCGGTTAATTTGTATCAGTTCGAAGGTAGGTTTACAAAGTTTTGTCGATAGTAAAATTGAGTTTGTGGAGTTCAACATTTTGCCCCAAAGTGACTCAGAATGCTTAAAGGACCACTCTAGGACCACTCATTGACAGCCGCTAGAGGCACTTGCGTAATTCTCACTGTAAAAATCATATTAGGGTAGAAACAGGTTAATTTCATTAGTTTTCTGTAATTTTCATTTTCTGTAATTTGAAAAGTTTCACACACAAGTACTGATGACGTATATAAACATTTATAATTAGTTTAATGAATAGGCTGCACAGGGCTGTCAGTTTTCTGGCTGCCTGAGAATCAGTATTACTTTGTAAAAAGCCAAAATATTATCATCAAAAACTGGGACGGTCTATTCCCGTCTGCGGCAGCTGGGAGGTACAAGACTGGAACATCTACAGGTTTCATCCGCTGAAATCACAAAAACTACAATTTGCGTCAGAAAATTCTGGGGTTTCTCCCTATGACACCAGTGAGACTAGTGGCTAACGTTGGCTACCAATTAATAAGATAATGTGAAGCCAAAGTTAATATCAATGAGCAAAAAAGTTAAAAAGCCAATGACTTTGGCTGCTTTGTGGTAATTTATACAAGACCTCCAGCTTAAAAGACAGCATTCAAATCAATAAAATACATTTTGTTTTGGAGAGTAACAAAATATTAGACACATCACCATGATTTTCTAATGATATCCTTTTAAATAAGTTAAATTGCATTACAGGTACCCTTGAGAGCAAAGTGCTAAATAGTGTATTAAGGCGATATAGCAGTGCCGAAGATGGATGTCACTATTAGCGATATTAAGTGACATTACAAAGACCGTCGCTTGGAAGAGAAATGCTTTTTAAGAGAATTCTGTGCCGCTCCTGAAGTTGAGTGATTTTTTGCAGAGTTCTAATCATCAGTTTATGTCATTGCGTAAATCCTGTGAAACTTGAATTTTTTAGAGAAACCATAATTCTGGGACAAAGAATTAAACGTGGAATAATCACTGGATTCCATGGTAACTGCACCGGATTAATTGCTGCCTCTTAGAAGGTGTCAATTAAATTACCATGATCTGTCTGTCTATCTGTCTATGTATCTAGAGCTGCAATAAGTGTGCTGCTCAGATAGTGTGTGTTATAGGAGGTGTGAGAGCTGCAGTGAGTGTGCTGCTCAGGTAGTGTGTGTTATAGGAGGTATGGGGAGCTGCAGTGAGCGTGCTGCTCAGGTAGTGTGGGCTATAGGAGGTGTGGGGGGATGCAGTGAGCGTGCTGCTCAGGTAGTGTGTGTTATAGGAGGTGTGGGGAGCTGCAGTGAGCGTGCTGCTCAGTTAGTGTGAGTTATAGGAGGTATGGGGAGCTGCAATAAGTGTGCTGCTCAGGTAGTGTGTGTTATAGGAGGTGTGAGAGCTGCAGTGAGTGTGCTGCTCAGGTAGTGTGTGTTATAGGAAGTGTGGGGAGCTGCAGTGAGCGTGCTGCTCAGTTAGTGTGAGTTATAGGAGATATGGGGAGCTGCAATAAGTGTGCTGCTCAGGTAGTGTGTGTTATAGGAGGTGTGGGGAGCTGCAGTGAGCGTGCTGCTCGGGTAGTGTGGGTTATAGGAGGTGTGGGGAGCTGCAGTGAGTGTGCTGCTCAGGTAGTGTGTGTTATAGGAGGTATGGGGAGCTGCAGTGAGCATGCTGCTCAGGTAGTGTGGGCTATAGGAGGTGTGGGGGGATGCAGTGAGAGTGCTGTTCAGTTAGTGTGTGTTATAGGAGGTATGGGGAGCTGCAATAAGTGTGCTGCTCAGGTAGTGTGTGTTATAGGAGGTGTGGGGAGCTGCAGTGAGTGTGCTGCTCAGGTAGTGTGGGTTATAGGAGGTGTGGAGAGCTGCAGTGAGTGTGCTTCTCAGGTAGTGTGTGTTATAGGAAGTGTGGGGGGATGCAGTGAGAGTGGTGCTCGGGTAGTGTGGGTTATAGGAGGTATGGGGAGCTGCAGTGAGTGTGCTGCTCAGGTAGTGTGTGTTATAGGAAGTGTGGGGGGATGCAGTGAGAGTGGTGCTCGGGTAGTGTGGGTTATAGGAGGTGTGGGGAGCTGCAGTGAGCGTGCTGCTCAGGCAGTGTGAGCTATAGGAGGTGTAGGGAGCTGCAGTGAGCATTTTGCTCAGGTAGTGTGTGTTATAGGAGGTGTGGGGAGCTGCAGTGAACGTGTTGCTCAGGTAGTGTGTGTTATAGGAGGTGTCGGGAGCTGCATTAAGTGTGTTGCTCAGGTAGTGTGGGTTATAGGGGGCATGGGGAGCTGCAGTGAGCGTGCTGCTCAGGTAGTGTGTGTTATAGGAGGTGTGTGGAGCTGCAGTGAGCGTGCTGCTCAGGTAGTGTGTGTTATAGGAGGTGTGGGGAGCTGCAGTGAGCGTGCTGCTCAGGTAGTGTGTGTTATAGGAGGTGTGGGGAGCTGCAGTGAGCATGCTGCTCAGGTAGTGTGGGTTATAGGAGGTGTGGGGAGCTGCAGTGAGCGTGCTGCTCAGGTAGTGTGGGTTATAGGAGGTGTGGGGAGCTGCAATAAGTGTGCTGCTCAGGTAGTGTGTGTTATAGGAGGTGTGAGAGCTGCAGTGAGCGTGCTGCTCAGGTAGTGTGTGTTATAGGAGGTGTGGGGAGCTGCAGTGAGCGTGCTGCTCAGGTAGTGTGTGTTATAGGAGGTGTGGGGAGCTGCAATAAGTGTGCTGCTCAGGTAGTGTGGGTTATAGGAGGTGTGGGGAGCTGCAATAAGTGTGCTGCTCAGGTAGTGTGTTTTATAGGAGGTGTGGGGAGCTGCAATAAGTGTGCTGCTCAGGTAGTGTGTGTTATAGGAGGTGTGGGGAGCTGCAGTGAGTGTGCTGCTCAGGTAGTGTGGGTTATAGGAGGTGTGGGGAGCTGCAGTGAGTGTGCTGCTCAGGTAGTGTGTGTTATAGGAAGTGTGGGGGGATTCAGTGAGAGTGGTGCTCGGGTAGTGTGGGTTATAGGAGGTATGGGGAGCTGCAGTGAGTGTGCTGCTCAGGTAGTGTGTGTTATAGGAAGTGTGGGGGGGGTGGAGTGAGAGTGGTGCTCGGTAGTGTGGGTTATAGGAGGTGTGGGGAGCTGCAATAAGTGTGCTGCTCAGGTAGTGTATGTTATAGGAGATGTGGGGAGCTGCAGTGAGCGTGCTGCTCAGGCAGTGTGAGCTATAGGAGGTGTAGGGAGCTGCAGTGAGCATTTTGCTCAGGTAGTGTGTGTTATAGGAGGTGTGGGGAGCTGCAGTGAACGTGTTGCTCAGGTAGTGTGTGTTAAAGGAGGTGTGGGGAGCTGCAGCGAGTGTGTTGCTCAGGTAGTGTGGGTTATAGGGGGTATGGGGAGCTGCAGTGAGCGTGCTGCTCAGGTAGTGTGTGTTATAGGAGGTGTGCGGAGCTGCAGTGAGCGTGCTGCTCAGGTAGTGTGTGTTATAGGAGGTGTGGGGAGCTGCAGTGAGCGTGCTGCTCAGGTAGTGTGTGTTATAGGAGGTGTGGGGAGCTGCAGTGAGCATGCTGCTCAGGTAGTGTGGGTTATAGGAGGTGTGGGGAGCTGCAGTGAGCGTGCTGCTCAGGTAATGTGGGTTATAGGAGGTGTGGGAGCTGCAGTGAGTGTGTTGCTCAGGTAGTGTGTGTTATAGGAGGTGTGGGGAGCTGCAATAAGTGTGCTGCTCCGGTAGTGTGTGTTATAGGAGGTGTGAGAGCTGCAGTGAGCGTGCTGCTCAGGTAGTGTGAGTTATAGGAGGTGTGGGGAGCTGCAGTGAGCGTTTTGCTCAGGTAGTGTGAGTTATAGGAGGTGTGGGGAGCTGCAGTGAGCGTTCATGTTAATGCTCTTCCTAGTGGACCTCACAAAACATGAAAGTGAAGATGTCAGATGTGATAATGCTGGTGCCATGTTTAGGTTCTATGTTGTCTAGAGGTTACAATCTCTGCAATATGTAAATTTGTTGAATCATATGTGAATGTAAGTTGCCAATATTTAAAAAGATAATTTTGTTTAAGAATCACTTCGTATGTCATTTGTTAAAGCATTTAATAAAATATTTAAACTATCTGCATTTGCAAGCGTTGCTGTCTCTCAGCTGTTTCTATATATAAATAAATGTTAATCAGAGCTGTCTCTGATTGATATATATGCTGGTACTGCCAAGACAAATAATCCTTAAATGAAACCATAGACACAGTGAGACGTAAAGTGGACATCTCCTCCTGAAGAAATATTGGAGAAAAATGGTCTCTATTTATTCCCTTGAGAGTTCACAAGTAATGTTTTAATCAGAGTCTACGGAAGAGAAGTCATAGATATATTAACAGAATATTCGCAGCCAGGTACTTATTTATAATAAATTAGATTTATTAAGGACTTTTGATTTGTGCATAATAGGCTGTAATAAAAAAAACGACAGTGTCTCTGGACTAGAATCACAGATGATGGAAGCCAGAGAGGTCATGGATAAAATGATGAACCTACTGAATTAGAAGTTTGGAAAGCACAGGATAGAGATAGTTAGCTGGTTGCCAAGGAGTAACAATCCCGGGGACTACTCAGGTAACAGAAATGCTCTAGTCTAAACGCGTAACCTTGAAACGTATTCTAGCAGCACAACTGGATGGTATTTGAGAATGATAACCGGATAGAACTACTAAATCCACAATGTAACATACAGACTGTGAAATCCGGAGAATCTGCTCATTCACCCCATGAATCTGTCCCCTCTGCTGAGAATCTGCTCATACACCCCATGAATCTGTCCCCTCTGCTGAGAATCTGCTTATTCACCCCATGAATCTGTCCCCTCTGCTGAGAATCTGCTCATACACCCTATGAATCTGTCCCCTCTGCTGAGAATCTGCTCATTCACCCCATGAATCTGTCCCCTCTGCTGAGAATCTGCTCTTTTGAAATACCCAAGTGTTTCCTGACTGGAATACCTGATCCTATTTAGACACAAATACACCCACATTATTTTATTATAATGTTATATAGCTGTGCTCATTTTATAGCTTTGGTATTGCGGAGTGCAGTTAGAAGGCAATATAATAACACATGGTAGCGTGACAGAGAGAAACAAAATGATACAGTAGCTTTAAAGAGTCTGCTTACAAGCTTATTTCAAAGAAAATATGATCTTTAATAAAGGTATTCAACACCTGGCATTTCTACGCACTTTAATAAGAGATCAGGACGGAGCTGAAACATTGAGTTTTTATACCTTTATTGAAATATATGTGAAAAATTGAATATTTCTTTGGAAAAAAAAAACAGCTGCGTATGTGAGCTTCCCATATATAGCCATTTATTAAGCTTTATATTGCAGTCGTACGCACTTCCCCATCAAGCAAACAAAACTCGTGTCCAATAAAGAGCCTACTGGTGGTGAAATTTCTCTATTTATTTATTTAGTTATTGTCTAATGTTCACATTCATGCGGGTTTTTAATCAATTTTATTGTATTCAATATTTTTTGTTTAATGTATATCTAGTTTATTTACTAAACACCTGCAGGGTTATTCACTATATTTATAATTCAAACAGAAGTCAATGTTCATTTTTATTAATTGGCCAAATTAACCAAACTTGAAGCATAGCTGATTTTTTTTTTTCTTCCATTTTAGCTCTTTTCGGCCTTAAAATTTAAATTCACTTTGAATTTTCTATTTAGTAATAACGCTGCAAATTCAAGTGGTAACATTTAGGATAAAATCTACAAGGTGTGATATGAGATGTGTGGAATCATTATTCAAAATCCGCATTTATCTAAATGTTGCACTTTGTTTTTCAGTTCACTCTTACTGGTATGTGTTTTTCCTGAAATTGCCATGTTTTACAGCTAATTACTCCAGGAGCACACATCCACATGATGCTCGCATGCAGAAAAAAAAAAAAATTACGAAAAAGAAAAATTTTAAAAAAGAAAGTTAAAAAATGCTACAAACACTTTGAAAATTGTCGGCTCGTGTCGGCTGAATGTCCCAGAATGTAAATGGATTTTCCACACAGTTTCTGAACCAATAAGTATATGCTGAATTTCTCTGATTGTGATTGGTGTAAATTGCTGCATTTTCAGTGTTCCATTATTCTTATTTAATTGTTATTATAACGAGCATTATGCTGTACACAGTGTATGTACGAGAATAATCACCTGCCGAAGATGCTATGTTTCTACGGGACAGATATAAAAGAATACATAGTATATCATTATCGCATCGTAGTATATTGTAATGCATGTTTAATTAAACTAACAGAATTTTATAGCAACAAGCTTTTGGTAGATGCAAAACACTGAAGTAGCCACTTGAAAATCGAATAGTAAATTTAGGCTAATTGAAGCTGTATCAGTAGTTATATTTTTGCAGATTTTTTTTTGCTGCAGGTACATAGTATAACTGACTCTTGGGGGATTTTCCATGGGTAATCGCATGAAGGAACAATGAGTAAAAAGTAGTGGAATTTTATTTTCAAAATGGCAGATCCACTATTTTGACGCGAAGAGTTTACTGCCGTGACTTCATGTAAGAAATGTGGTCTCAACAGGATGGGGCTACTGCCCGTACAGCCAGGGCCACAATGGACCTCCTAAAACAACTGCTCCGTGGCTGGTTAATTTCGAGAAATTCCCAGATGAATTAGTTCCTGTGGGGATATCTAAAGGAGTGGGTGTACGTGTACAAACCACGTACACTTGAGCAGCTCAAGGAGAATATGCGTGCAAAAACGAGAGTGCTAGAGCCTCAAACATTAACTAATGTTATAAACAATACAACTGAAAGAGGCCGACTTTGCGAGGTGACAAATCAGGCTCATTTAATAGATGTCATCTTCTGTACACAGTCAAACAAATCTCCACGTTAAGCATTCACTGTATGTAATATCATTGAAATTGGTTCATTAATATTAAAATACTTATTGACTCCTCAAACCCTAATCTGACTTTTGGCGCACCCTGTATTATCTTGAAACATATAAAAAATGGTGGGTATATTTTATTTCTATAGTGTTTATAGCGGACTTAATTCAACAACATGCCTACTTGAAGGTTTTCACATCTTACAAAACCTACGCCACTTTATTACTGGTCCAAAAAAAAAGTGCAGAAGAAAATTGGCACTTTAACGCTCAATATTAAATACCATTCACTGAAAAAGCATTTCACATTTTCGCTTAGGCATAGCGTGTGTTGGAAATCTGGAACAGCTAAAAAAAAAAGTTATTTTTTTGCTACAAATCTTAAGTGCAACAAAAGGTTAGTAGTAGAAAGCCTTGGAGATGGAAATTGGCCATGTTCTACTTAACGCGTTCACTCGAGATATTATTTCTCAGCTTGACAAGAAAGGGCCTTTCTACAGATTAAAAATTCATAAAATATAATAGTTCACAATGTTGTGGGCATTTGAGGACAAGCAAATCAAATAAGCAGAAATTTAGGGAATAAAAGCAGAGTATTGAAAAGCATTATACTTTTAATGGAAGGCTACATTGGGTTTGTATTGACAAAATGGTGATATGTGGTGAAATGATAAATACATTTTACAGTTTAGGCTGCAAACAGACGTTTAATATTTTGAGCTGTTTGTGCAAAATGTGTCAGCTCTGTTGTTAGTTTTTCAGCACAACGCACTGTGTTGTGAATTACCCCATTGTGCAATGAAAGGTACACTTCACAGCTGGCTGAAGCTATTTTTGTGTCTGGAGTGTGTCACATTTGTAACACTTTCTAAAAACGCTGATTTCACACCCTACTGACCGTTGATAAAAACCATGACGATCCTGACACACATACATTTAATGTACATATCAGTAACCCTCTGGGAAGAGGAACGTATCTGTTCCCTGGATATTTTAAAATGAGTTTTGTTACCATTTTTCCATCCATCCTGCGTTTTGTGAAATTCATCAGTCTCTCACAAGGTGACTAACTAAAATGTCTGCATAAATACACGTACACGTGCCTCTAAGCTAGTAGAGTCAGTGGGCTCGTTTGGTTATCTGCACATTCAAAGGAAATTTGTCATGGTGTCTTAGATGTTAACTCACAGAATAGGAACAATGAACTAACATATCTGATTGTTACTGTCTATGCTGACCATGTATGATTGTAAACCCACTGTTCGGTGTACACTGCTACATTCAAATGTGTTATAATTACATTGAAATTGATATTATTTATTTATTACTATTTATAAAGCGCCAACAGATTCTGCAGCTCTGTACAATTAGTGGAGAACGTACAATATACACAGATAAATACAAGAGGTAGAGAGACCCCTGCCCATAAGCCGATAACTAGCCATTGGAGCTCTTTTATACAAAGTACTTAGCTAGATGGCCTGTGAGCTTACAATCTAAATGAAATGATTGATGTATCACCATTGTTTGTGTGAGGAGCAAATAAGGCAGTATAGGAAGGGGAAATAAGTCGGTTGAGGTGTGCCGGAACCGACGTTGTGGTAGGCCTGTAATAAAAGAGGGCAAAAAATTGGGTACCTGTCAGAAACGAAAAAAAACAACAAAACC